TAAAACATCCTGTATGTAGTCAGGTCATTTGGGGGAAGGCATTCTGTTTGTAGTCAGGTCATTTGGCAGAAGGCAAAGGGGTCACTTGATGTGTAGTCAAACTGTGTGTTTAAGCACAGTCCCTCCATCCCGGTCTGGAAACGGTTATTGTATTAGGTGTGAACTGGCCTCTTTCACTGGCAAAGGCGCGTTGTGGATATGCGCATAGCATTGTCACGTGATCGGCACACAGTCGGTCATTGTTATGTGTTTTTTTACAACTTAGTTTTTTTATTACAGAATTCAATCTTTTTCACATATTTTTATCATCAGGATATCATATTTTAGCTGGCAAATAGTTTTTTAATTTATCTATTTTACTAGCAGTGACATTTTCGTAACAAATTTCCATACCTTTACCCAGAAATTTTTCATGTTTGACTTTTGTAGTAATTGAAATGAACCTTCTTCATAGCGCAAAATCTATATTTGTCTTCGATTTCGACATTTTATGATTGAAACATATCATTAAAAATTGGTGGGCTGATTTGTTATTTGTCATATCGCATTTTATAGATGTTACATTGGAAAATTTTTATGGATGCTCTTTTCGATCGTAAATGCAAATGGTGACGTTTTCGAAATGACAATGTAGGCTATTCAATGTTAAATCATTTATATACAACAATTGAAGCTTTGTTTTATACTGGTGTATCGAATAAAGTCACTGTTGTTTTATAGTTGACTTGAATTGTTATGAACCCCCAAGAATAAGAAATATCACAGGTTTTTCGATCGACCACATTAACATGAATGATGCCATTTTGACAAGATTTGTTTAGCGATGTCAGCATGTTGGTACGCGCTGTTTTTTCCCTATTAAAACGAGAAGATGAACACAATTCCAGATATTAATCTTTGCATGGCAGGAACTGGATGTTTATGAGTTGGTAGGCTGGTTTTGATACATAGCAGGGTTCAAAAACCCAAAATTTCATAGTGCTAATTTTGTTACGTTGTAATTGCCTTAATTTGAGGTCAAAGTGAAGTCATACAATTGGGTATCGCTTTGCATGATGGTAAATTTGACGATTTTAATGAATATTCTGATGGTATCGTAATCTGTCTGACTACCTGACTCCCTCTGTGCGGGTGTGAACAGTTTGTTTACCCGCATTGCGGTTCAAGACAAAAGAACGCTAGTAGTTTCCAGACCGGGGATAGAGGGACTGTGGTTTAAGCAAAGCGATTGTGGGTCCATCCTGCTGTGGACCATTATTGCAATATGAAAATGACACCACTGCAAACTAACATCTGCCCCTCGCTAGATCATTTTGGGGGATGAGGCATCCTGTGTATAGTCATCGTAATCAGAACTACATTTGGACCAAGACGCATGCATACCATCTATCCAATCAATATGCACATATTCTAATTGGTACATACATCCTATATATGGTTCAGTACAGTCCAAGACAAATGCACTGATAAAAAACGTCATACAGATTTGGTTACAATATACCAGAATAAGACTTTGACTACAGTGAACATTCAAGAAAATTCCTACTCAAAATTAACTCACATTTAGTCGTCTACTTCAACTGAAGATTTTTACCAAAAAACAAGTTTTAGTTTTAGTTCAATGCAGCTAGTGATTCTTGAGATATCAGACAGACAGACATACATACATACAGACACAAAACATCATTACCTCCTGTTTGTGCTCTGCATGATATGGAAGCCAAAAAACGACAAACATATTTTAGAAATTGTATTTGTATTGCTTTAATATAAAAATTCGTACAGTTACTGTTTCCAATGGTTCTAACTATCACTAAAAAGATAAACGGAATGCAGATGAATAAACCAATGAGAGTACATTCCATTACTTGACAAAAATATATAATAAATATACCCCATTTTTTAAACTGAAGTCGGTGGCATAAAATTTGGAGGTGGCATAGGTGGTACAGGCAGTCTATGGGGAGGAGGTGGCATTCCAGGTGGTGGGGGGCCAGGAGGAGGTAGCAGCCTTGGTGGACCAGTTGGTACTCCTGGAGGTCCAACTGGCTGGCTACTTGGTGGCATTGCACCAGGCGGGCCATCAAGAGTATTCCGATCATGGTGCATCGGAGGTGGTCCATTAGAAGGCTCAGATTGTCCATGTTGTTGTCTTGGATCCATCTTGAAAGCAAACTGTAAAAAGAACTGGGGGGATAAATCAGAAAGAATTCAATTTTAATTTTACTGTATAAAATAAAATGAGGAATGAGAATGAACCTTCACTATCCTTCCACGACGATAGAGGTATGAAATGAAGAATTTATTGTTTTAACATGTCCTTAATTTGCATTAAACTTTTTCTTCTTTTAGTGATGTCATGTTATAGTCGTGTGTGTCGTTGTTGGGTGAAACCAAGTGATAGTTAACTTTGTAACACCAACAAACTACTGTTAAGTGCAGAGATAAACTGATTACAAAAACTATTATCTCCCTATTCTCCTTGAAACATTTTTAGTGGTGTTTGTTATGATATGCCTTCAACTCCTTATCGAATGCACCACTATGTTTGAAAGGGTGTAATTCCGTGGTCGAATCTGAACGGTTTTCCTAGTTGCATGTTGTCTACCGTTGCAAACCGGTCAATTGTTGCGCTTGAAAGGGTCAAGGTCAAAACATCACTAAGTTGATAAGAAGATACAAGTTTTCAGGATCAGTTTATATCAGCGTCTGATGTAACCATGACCTACCTGTTTAGTTTCTTTATTCCATTGTGTCCAAAATTTGCCTTCCACCTTGTCTACTTCTCTACTTGGTACCTGCAATGCATGAAATTACATTAAACATAACGGTACATAGGATGCTGCCTCCAATGTGTGAATATTACAAGCAGTAACACAAAATACAGAATGCAGTTAATGCAATCACAGGAAACCAACCATATAAAAATTAAAATGTGACCCAGTGAGTTGTCAGACCATTATGTCATCAACCTAAGCAATGATGGCGAGGCAAAAAAAAAACAAAAAAAAACTTATGTTGCCCTCAAGTCGGAAAATTAAAAAACTGGGACGGACGGTCTTTTTCTTTTTAAACTCAGGGTATCGTAAATAGCCGAGGTATATGGGATTCAATCAAACGCATGCTAGATATTAAACACAAACATTGTTTCTTTCAGTCTTTTGTATTTAAATACAGATCAAAAGTCGCCACAACAGTCCAGGATCGTTAATTTTTAGAGAAAACATTTTTTACTGCTTAAAATGGTGAGTTTTTAATATTTGGGCCTATTAAAAAAAAAAAAAAAAAACGCAACCCGATATTTCATATTTTTTGGTCGGTCGCTGAGGGAACAAAACAATTTTTTTTTGACCTGATTGTAGGGTCATCATGTCAAGCCATTGTGTTGTCATCACACTTGACCATTGAATTGAGGGTACTGGCAAGAATTAACTTGTACAAGAGCAACAGTGACTTGGTCTGAAACATCCCAGTATTACCTTCAATGCTACAAAATTATCAAGACTGTTCACTGACACATGGACTGCGTAGTGGTTTGCTTGGTACATGCACTGTGGATTCATTAGGGTATTCAGTAGGGTAGCAAAAGTGTAAAAACAGATTTCACTGCCCATGGTTATTCATACCACTTACCTTAAATGAAATAGTTTCATAAGGCTCAGCAGCAAATAGCAAATACTGCCATTTTCTGTCGGGTGGCTCTATCTTTTGTTCGTAAGCAGACATAAACCGATGACGTGGTAGAATGCCATCAACTATTTCTGGATAATCAACCTGTAAAAATAAACCATATGACACATTTGTAGACTATTTACATTACTGTAGTATTGGCTACAAAGGAACAAACATAAAGTGTAACATTACGTGGTAAGGAGAATTGTTAATACAGTACCTGAAAGAGTAAACTTTGCTGCCCTGATTCTGCATCCCGTTGTTTTGTCACTTAAAAAAAAAATGAAGACAACCATAAGATCTAGAGGCAATAATATTTATTTGGTAAGAGTCCCATTTGACATATACAATATGTATAAAATCTTTTGCTTGATTTCTCACAATTTGAATAAACTGTAAAACATGTTGAAAAAGCGGCGTGCAATTTTAGTGAATTGTGGTAAAATGACGCAATAGCGAAATGTTGATTTAGCAAATCGCTCTTGTCATTGTTGATTTCCTGTTTTCACAATACTTGTCTGTCGCATGCAAAAACAAGAAAAAATGTGAAGTGTAATTTGATTCTGTTTGCAATGATAAAAAACTGATTCAACAAGGATTTCAAAAAGCGAGTATCTTTGCTGTGTAAAAAAAAACTGTTACATCCAGAACATTGACCTTTTATATTGGAACTCACAAATTACTACTAATTTCCGTAATAATATATCAGTATCACGTCATTTATTTATTTTCATTGAAATAATGACCACAATGAATACGTTTATTTTTTTATGTGTTAATTTACTCTTCAATAAAGTGTATCTATCATGTCAGTAGTTTTTTTTGTATTGTTTACAAAGTGTGTGTGGAGAAAAAAGACGTTGTTTGGCGACCATTTTGAATTCATAATAAAGTCATTAGCGACATCTTGAATTAGCGAATCAGCTCTCGCTTACCTACGAATATAGTAAGCAGAGACAGAAGCTAGATACAAATTTTCCTATATCTATTCATGTATGTACCTTTATAACCAGGTCTGCCAATTTTTACAAATTTTTTAACTTCCACTCGGGGTTTCTCTGGAGCTGGTTGTGCTGGTTCATCCTTGGCTTCTTTTGCTGCTCTTCGACCCCTGATATTCAAAATAACATTACATATATTATGTATACATTGCAGATCACAAAATCGTGTGTCAAAAAAATACTGTCAGTAACATTGGAAGTGTACTTACAGATTGGACTGATGCTTTTTGCCTTGTGTATGTGCAAGATAGCTGCCTTCATTATTGTGTAGCGTTAAACATAGCTTACATTCGTAGGAGCCCAAGTGATTTTTCATAAAATATGGATCCTGAAAAAGAAGTGCATGATTCAGAGTTATCCAAAAAATTATTCTGAGTTATCTAAAAGTATTATAAGAACTTAGTGATACATTTTATTTTTATAATATTGATAAGAAAGTGTGAAATGTCACAATACATGTACATGTCATTGCTAGGGTCAGCAGCCTAGTTACATCTATGTTCAGCTTTGAATCCATAAACACTACGAAAATAGCAGACACATGTTTCTCGACTGATTCCTAGTATTAACTAGAAAGAATCTAGCTCTTTTGACCAATAGCGTTATCTACCGGTATCTGTAGTTTTACACTATAACCTTTGGTAGTTTTTATAATGTACGAATGCAACTGGTGTGAGTAAGCCAGAATGGGGCACATTGTACATACATACATGTGTACAGTGTATACATGTAATGAGATTGAGCTCAATTAAAAAAAATTATGTAAAACCACAAGCTATGAATTTGTCAAGGGCTAATGTGTCAACCTTATTCAGCTGTACAAACCTTCGTAAGATCAATAGTTTCCAAAGCTAGTTGTCGCAGCCTTTCTCTTCTGTCTCGATTACTTTCTGATGCGGATGCAACACCTCCACTGCCCGTTTTACCACCAGCTCTGTTCTGAAAATCCATGTTATTTTTATATGTGTATCCACAAAGTTAACTGAAGAGTGGTGTTAATGGATCACCTTAGAAATAGCCAACTGAAAGATAAAATGTAAAAAATTACATACATTACTATCATAGAATGTTTTATTTTATTAATTTTCTAAGACAACTTTATGGTTCCCACAGTGACACCACTTTGATTATGCGTAGACAATCATCTAAAACCCAGTCACATTATCAATCTGTAGTATCAGATGTAAATATTTACTACATGTACCACATATTGTAGCATTCAAACACTAACTTAGCACAATTAGCAAGCAAATATGCTAGTTCGTTAGCAATGATGCTTTCAGACAAGAATTCAGTACTTTGACTGTTGTGCCGCTGTTGTTACATGTATGTACAAATATGATAAATCCAGTGTGCAAACGCATCTTTCTTCATTGTTTTTAGGTAAAATCAGCTAAATTCAATTCACGTGAACAATCGAAATAATAGAACTCATTGTTTCTCAGCCAACTTTGTGACCTTAAAACCCAGTGAAATTGCTTAAAACATCAAAATAGAAAAATTAAATGTCAGTGGAAATTAATGTTTTACAGTATACTAGTTATTAACTTTGCAGTATGAACTACATCTATATGATCTATAGAATGGACACCTTCTAGATCATGTTAAAAACAGTGACAATATTTGTCATTTCTGTCCTCTTGACTACAACAATTTAGTACACAATGTGTGGAATAAACCATTGGACTGTATATGCATAATGGGGAAAACAGTTTGTAGAAATTTTAATAAATACTTGCAAGCTTTTTAAAAGCTTAGAAGTCGTACATACATAGCCAAGTCCCTGCTGCTATCTGTGCGATGCGATATACACTTACGTCGTGTAGCTAATACAATCAATTTTCCCAAAATTACAGTATAATACCACAGTCATTAGTGACTATGTATAATAATACCGGTAGATACATTGTACATACGTTCGTATTACGTCGTGCATAATCTAATGCGTTCTGTTGTTCCTTGGATCTACTAAAATCCTAGATTTGTATACGGTTCGCGACAATATCCAATAGACACATTGTACTTACATGGCTTTTCTAATACCAAACTGTTGCTTCTGATTTGTAATATCCCAGTTGTGTCTTTCAAACAGAAACCAAATAATGAACACACGCTTTCAAGATGGCTGCACGAGCCTGAAGTAAGTATACATTCACAGAGTTCAATTCAGATGAATTGGAAGTAAAAGCAATTGTCAAATTGGTGATGCGAATACAAACATATATGCCCAAACTGTATATATAACAATAGTTTTACTAAATCTACGATATATCCAATTAGACATCTGAAACGAATCCGACGCTGTCAATCTAATCCTAAAGTAATTCAGCCTCGTTCCAAATTAGCACAAAGATTTCGATTACTCAAAGATATACAACTTTCTAACAAAACAGCATTCATCAATGACCTATTAATTTTACTAATGGTGATATTGGTGATTTTTTTTCCAGTTAGCTTTGTGCTAATTTTAAACTGTGAGTACATGGACGAGCCTAAACAACCTCAAAACAATATGGCGGAATAGATACCTGAGTGTGTGGAATGTAAACGAACTGTGTTTAGACAAAACATGACCACAAGATGACGACCAGGCATTAATAGTTGCGGTGAAATGGTAAAGCATTATTGTCAGAATTGACTGAGTAAGTTATTGCTAAATGACTTATAATATTGTCTATAACTAATAATTGTGTAAGTCATTTGACAGGTCTATTCAAACTCTGAGAGGATGTCCAGCTTACATACTGTCGGTACATTCTTGGTATCTCAAAAAATACACCAATCATGGCAAAACATGTATATAGTGAATTGGGAAAATTACCTCTTGACTCTTTTATTAACAAACAAATGATAAGATATGCCAATCGTATTGCAAATTCCACAAATACTCTACTTCAAGAAGCATACTATGTCAATAAAATTATTAAAAGTAAATGACTTGATTTGATATTAAAAAATATAAACCATTCTTATCTTTTAAATGAAACAAATATTATCTCATTATCAAAACTAAAAACAATTGATGAGAAATTAAAAGAAGAGTTTACAACTGAGTGGAAAAATGAAATAAATAATGATAATAGGAAAAAATCAAATTCTAAAAATAAACTAAGAACCTACAAACTTTTTAAAACCAAAATTGAACAAGAAAACTACTTAACAATTATGAAAAACAATGAACTTCGCAAATCCTTAACA